GAACGATGCGTTTACCTCTCAGGTGTGTGTTATAAAAATGCATGTTAAAAGCCCTACAATACATTTCTCAATACTGTTATTTCCCTTCCCATGCAATCTGCTGGCCTCAAATGGATCAAGTTCCCTTCTCTGGTACCAGGTAACCCAGGTGACTTCCCAATGTATGTGACCTCCAGTAAGGAGCTGAAAGCCACAGAATAGGAGCATTGAGGAAGAACACCAGGGCTCTCTCTGGAGGAGGACAGAGAGAGTACAGGGTGTGGGGGGGTGTTTACTTAGACCTTCATGGAACAACAGCCAGCTAGTTCTCTTTTTACCAATGAGGAAACTGAGGCTTGTGCAAGTAATGGAGGCAGATCATACTGGCAGAACCTTCCCTTCCACAAGCTCTCTATTGCTTATCTTCTCATCCCCTTTCTTTCCTTGAGGGGGTCTAGACCAATCACAAAAAGTGTAAGAGAACAGAGCATATAATTTCAGTACTCCTTCAGGAGGCTGAGGCTGAGGCAGGAGGACTGTGGTGAGCCAGCCTGGTTTACACAGTTCAAGGCCAGTCTGAACTATATAACAAGACCTATGCTGGGTGTGGTGGTGCATACCTGTAATCCCAGAACTCAGGAGGCTGAGTGAGGAGAATCTCCACAGGTGTGAGGCAAACCTGGGCTACATAGAGAATTCAAGGCCAGCCAGAACTATACAGCTTGTGTCAATAATAATAATAATAATAATAATAATAATAATAATAAATGATAAAATAAAAGTCATATAACAAGGCCTTGTCTCAAAAAAGAAAAAAGTTTTGGGCCGGGGATTTAGCTCAGTGGTTCTGCAGCCTGCCTCACAAGCACAAGGACCCAAGTTCGATCTCTGGTACCAGAAAAAAAAAAAAAACGGAAAGAAAGAAAAAAAAGTGAGAAGGAACAAAAAAGAGAACCTTCAAGGAGCTAGGACCTTTCCACTACACTTCATAAAATTTTAACACGAAAACTTCTGCAGAGTAGAAGGCACATATCACATGCAAATCATATGCAAATCACATGCTAATCAAAGTCTGGTCCTCAGAACTCTGACACACTCCTGTCTATAGCCCTGGGGGGAAATTCTGGGGAGACCCTGAGTTCTGGGACAGGTGGTGATGTATTCCACTTAGGGTCAGGTCATAAAGCTAAGATTTTAGGATTTGGAGAGAAGGGTGCTATATCCTTCGGGATTAGGGTCAGAGTTCATACATAATCAGGGAGAGATTAATACAGGATTCTGACTAGGTATGCCTTCAAACAGAAGCCCCTAGGAGACTGTTGAAGTGCTCTTTGGCTATCCCCTTCTCCTGCCAACACTGCCCCTGCATCTGCAGCCTCTTTATTTTATTTTTCCATATCCACGGCCTTTTTGTTCTGCAGCACACCCTTCTCTGTCTACTTCTATTTCTAAGCACATCACTACCCCATGGCTCCCAGTTTGGCTACCAGAAGAGCTCTGGGTAAACTGTCCGGGACCCCCACCTGGGTCCCAGCATTCCTTCTTGGCTTCTGGCCTCCAGAGCAATGGCTGGTCTTAGCCTTACCCAGGTCCCTCCTTGGACGAATGTGACAGCTGCAGGGGAAGCAATAAGGACCTGGTGAGCTGGCAGCTTCATTCCAGAGCGTGGGGAAAGAGCAACAGAACATGAATAAATTCATAGAGCTGGCCCCTCGGCTCCCTGTGAGCCAAGCCTGCTTCCCCCCACCACACATGCCGCCGCTGCGGCCACTGGCAGCCCTGCTGGTCACCGCAGATCACAGCCTGGCCTGGGCATAGGAGCAGGGGAAGCTCAAGCCTAGAGAAGAAGCCTGGTACCTGAAAGGGGCTGAGGTGAGGGGCTCAAAAAAAAAAGGGGCTGGGGAGTAGGATGAGTGGGGTGTGGAGCAGGGCTGGGCAGAAAGGGCCTCTACTGAATAGAGCGGGGCAGGGGGAAGGAGGAAAAAGAGGGGTAGGACTTGGGGTGGATGGGGCCTGAGGCTTGGGTAGAGGAGGCTGGCGTGAGCCAGGCCTGCTCTCTGATCCATCCATCATCCAGCCTGGGGGAGCAGATCTGGAATTAGACATGCACGGGGCCGACAAGGCCCTCAACCCCCCGAGGAAGACAAATGGCGACAAAGACCTTGAATAAAATTTGTATTTATGGTTGGAGCAGGAGGCCCCTCCCCCACTGGCTGCCAATCCTTTCTCTCCCAATCCCTTCAGCCACCTAGGGACCTCTTCTAACCCAGACACAGATCTAGCCTCAGCAAGCTCAGTCTCCCCAAATCTTTATGGGGACAGAGTGCAGGGAGGGAGTAAAGAATGAGAAAATTATCTACCCATCAACCACACCCTGATGTGCCTTGCTCTCCATTTTGCACAACATATTCTGCACATCACGTTCCTAGTTTACCCTAGTTATTCAGAGGCCTTTGCCATTGCCAATCTCTAGGGTCTCCAAACAACTCCACTTTTGCCAGTCTAGAGGCAGTTCTCCAAC